CTCTGCACCCTGGAGCCTCCGTCTTCTAGAGTGTGGAGAGACTTTGTGGGGGTAGACTTAAGACTGCAGTGTCTATAAAGATGGGAACTGTTCTCTACTCTCACCTGTCACTGCCTGGGTGTCCTTCTCAGCTGTGCCTCTGGAACTTTAATTTGGGTTCTAAGGATCAAAGCCGAGCTTCACGCACCCTAGGGAAATACTCTAACCCTGAGCTACACACCCCTCGTCTTCCCGTTTCTTTGGTTTCTCGCTAGTGTTTCAGGTCGTGGCAGACATGTCTTGGCACCCTTTAGTGTGCAGCTTGTCTCGCGTATCTGTTGTGCTAACACCCCTGCTGTGTGGAACAAGGTCCTTCAGTTCCCATCCCTGTGTAGCTCATCCAACCCATACAAAGAACCAGGTGGCTAAACTAGGCCTCTGCACTTGTGGGACTTCAAAAGTATATACAACAGTGACCCACCCTCCCAGATACAAAGAACATATGCTTCAAAGTTGAACATATCCGGGTTTGAATCCTGGCCTTTGTCCTCCCCAGCTGATTTCTTCTCTGCAGCCTCAGTTTCCCTATTACAGAACTACTGTGAAGTTTGAGCACGATAATTCATGCCCAGGGTCTGGCACAGTACCTCAGAGTACCTGTCTGGCTTGGTACCTAAGAGACTCCCAGGGTGAGGAATCTACTAACTGCTCCAACTCATCCCTCTCCCCTCCTGATACAGATGGACAGTAGGCAGCCGCAAGAGGAAGCTGGCAGCCAAAGCGTACATGCCCCTGCGGGCAAAGCGTAAGGCAGCCAAGCTGGATGGACGCTGCCCCTCAGACAGTAGCGCAGAGGGAGCTCTGGGCGCTGAGCAGCCAGATGAAGGCATTGACAGCCACACGTTGGAAAGCATCAGTGAAGATGACTCCTCCTTGTCCCACCTCAAATCATCTATCACCAACTACTTTGGGGCAGCTGGGCGGTTGGCCTGTGGAGAGAAGTATCAAGTGTTGGCTCGGAGGGTCACGCCTGAGGGCAAGGTTCAGTACCTGTTAGAATGGGAAGGGACAACCCCTTACTGACTAACCCTCAGGGGCTGCCTAGATCCCTGGAAACCAAAAGAGGGACAGAGAAGCCATTGGCTCCCTGTTTTCTCCAGGCTGGGGTGGTGGAAGGGAAGCAGGACAGAGCCATAAGGGCCTGGCTGTAGCCCTGCCTGCTGCCCGCCAGGCCAAAGTCTGTGCTGCTGTACCAATTGCCTGTGTCTCCAAGACCCCAGTGACTCTTTCTCATTGTACACTCTACACCCCTCAAACTGTTTATTGGTTCCTCTGGTTCCAGAATACCAAAGGACTGTGACCCCTCCTGATCCCGAGGCCTAAATCTGTTTTTTCATTGTCCCCAGCTCTCCATCTCTTTACCTCAACCATTTTGGGTATTTGTGTGGTCACACATCTGCCATGTGCACATGTACATCTGTCCCTCACTGGATTGCCTTCACTGGGTTCTCACTGGACCCCGAGGGTCTCCCATTTTCTCACCAATACCCCTAAGGCCAGGAGGGTAGGGGTGTCTGAGAAAGTTCAGAGTGCCTGGGACCCAAAACCTGGGGGTGATGAACTGGGTCTCTGATGAAGAGGCCAGCAGCAGGGTCCTTTAAGGAGGCTCAGAGGAGAGACTACATGAGTCAGCTCTGAGGGTCCCAGAAGCTTGTTCCCAGCAATAACCCTTCACTGCTGTCATGGAGTACAGCCTGGCCTTGCTGCACAGAGGTATTCTTAAACACTGAGATCTCAGAGGAAATGATGGGGAGCCAAGCCAGGTCAGACTGAATCTCAGACTCATCACAAGGTCCCACACCAAACCACTGTGTGTACAGACACACGGTCACATTCCCACGCCCTCCTGGCACCCTGGCTCCTGTCCTTGGCCCCTTCCAGGGATACATGCTGCAATTAAATGTGAAAACCAAACACTTGACCCAACAGAGACGCACAAAAGACTCCCCTCTTCTGCAGAGCACCTGCCTCGCCCTGGAACTGACAATCACTTTGGGGACAGGCTGGGGTTTTTCAAGGGCCTGAATCGTTCCTTCCCTTCAGAAAGGAAGCTTTTGTCGTTGATGGTATAAATAGAACCCTTAAAAATGGACAAACAGCCCTATCTGGAGGGAAACCAAAATTAGGAGGTGGGCAAGGAGCCATTAGTTTGCCTGCAGAGATATTAGAAACTGACTCACTTGGTTGGAAAGAAGAAGTGCCTTGGGGTGGGAGGCAGGGACAGCAGATTGGGACCAGCCTCACTGCTGTGGTGGCTTCCAGCTGGGCGGGGCTTTGCATGCTGCCAGCTGGAAGGTGAAAATGAACAGCATGGGGACTGTCAGGGGCTGATGTTTCCATGAGTAGGCCTGACCCCTCCATACCTGCCTGTGAGCATTCAGGGGGCCTCAGAAGTTAGATGGCCCTTGCCTTAAACCTCAGCAACTGCAGTGCCTTGCAAAGGGACGTCTCCTCTCACTCTGGGTACAGCCACTCATTTCCCTCTGCTTCCCTGTCTTGTCTGAGGCAAGGATGAGCAGATGGGCGCTGGGCCCAGTTCTCAGTCTCACAGCTGCTGCCATTGAGGTCCCCCAGTGGGGCCAGGTGGAAGGAGAGTTGTGAGGCCAACTCCCAGGCTGGCGGTAGTGTGGGAACTGGGGTCAGATTTGTGGCCTCCTGTTAGCTTCAGTGAGCATACCAACCTGCAACATCTGCCTTCCAGGCTGGTGGGAAAAACGGAGAACAAGGCTGCCCCTTCCCTACTGGGCCTGAGGAGCAGGAAGGTGGTGGTGGAGGGGGTGATAGCACAAGGCCTGACCAGGTCACCTGACTCCTAACACCAACGTTTTACTCCCACAAGATAATGGCTGCGTTACTGTCAACTGACAGTATAACCCTGTGCACCTTTGAAAAGATTTTGGTTTTTGAATTGCTGCTTTTAATAATATTTGTTATATTAAAGTTATAATCGTGTCTGGTTTGCAGTGTAAGTGTGTCCTTGGAAAGCCTGTACACCCTGGCCCCGCTGCTGGGGGTGAGCCCAGCTGTGGACCACCCAGCCACCCCGCATTCTCATCTACGTTCTCAGCAGTGGTCCCACCATTGTTGCCCTTTGATAATGTGGAACTTTCTTTTTCTACCTCTACTAACAGCAAACATTTACCCTTAGGATTTGGGGATAAAGCAGGCATAGTGACACACACCTTTAATGCCAGCACTCAGGAGGCAGAGGCGGGCAGATCTACAAAGCGAGTTCCAGGACAGCTAGGGCTGTTACACAGTGATGCCCTGTCTTGGAAAAACAAAACAAAGAAGGAAGAAAAAGAATGAATGAATGAATTTAGGAGTAAACTGGAATTCTCGGAAATTCCCCAATCAAATACTTCACCCTTCATACTCCTTTCCTCATTGTTTACCTGAAATTTGCTGAGGCACATCAAGCCTTTTTATTAGTCCTATTAAACAAAGACTATAGCCTGGGGATTAAATGTAAAGATCAGGGAACAAGATTTGAATAGCATTCTAATGTCACAGCGTTTGGTTATATTAGCAGCCTGAATTACCACCTTAAGTGCTCCTTTTGCTCCCAGACTTTATTTCTTGGAACACCTCTCTCAGAGTCTGTATAAAGCACACACTGTATATAAAATTTGCAAGGAAAACCCAGTGATGGCAGCAGACTCAGTGATGGCAGCAGACTCAGTGATGGCGGCAGACTGACTGCCGTGGCAACAGCTCAGAGCAAGGCCCACAGATTAGAGCGATGGCGGTGGCAGCTCCCTTAAGTGTCCTGGCTAGGCTCTCCCACTCAGCACTTGGAAGTCACCTGCTTTTGTTCTTTACTTGGTGAAGGTGATTTGGCTTTGTTTTGTTGTTTGTTTGTTTTGAGATGGGTCTCCTGTGGTCCAGGCTGGCCTTGAACTCAAAGTTGCTCTGCCTTAGCCTCACAAGGGCTGGGATTATTGGGTCCGCCATCACACAGATGAATAGCCTCACAAGGGCTGGGATTATTGGGCCCACCATCACACAGATGAATCTTTTAATGCAGCAGTGCTTGTGTCCTTGTAAGATTTAGCTGTTTTAGATAGTTATGTTTTTCCTCATGTCCACAGTTGCCTTTTGTAGAGATTCTGGGAATCCTAAGAACTGCTAGCAGGGAATTCACACTAGTCTGAGACCCAACTGGTCTTCAACAGCCTGATTTGGGGAGGACAATGTAGGAAAGTGGCCCGTCACTAAACTCTACAGTCTTCATCCATGGAGTGAGTCACACCCTCCAGATCTATGGTAAGGAAGAAACAACGCAAAGGATGGACAAGTGTCAGACAGACAGATGTCTTAAAGACTAGTAACTTTGCCAGTGGCTACAGTAGGTTCTCAGAAACTGGCCCCTGAATAAAAAACAGTAGAAATGTTAGATTAGAATCAGACTGGGGGGCTGGGGGGCTGGAGAGATGGTTCAGAGGTTAAGAGCACTGGCTGATCTTCCGGAGGTCCTGAGTTCAATTCCCAGTAACCATGTGGTGGCTTACAACCATCTGTAATAAAATCTGGTGCCCTCTTCTGGTCTGCAGGCATACAAGGAGGCTGAACGCTGTGTACACAATAAATAAATAAATCTTTAAGTGGCTTATGCCCTCTGACCTCAGATTTCATCAGCAAAATGCTAAAAAATAAGCCTAACTTACAAGGATAAGATGGGGAGCAAGTGCCTCTCTCCCATTTCTTGTACACGGTGGCAGACAGGTCACCAAGAAAGGCTTTTATGATGGTATATGTAACACCAAAAATGAACCAATGAAGGCCACATTCTCTTAGAGTTTAAGAAAATCCAAGAGAAATATATATATATATATATTGCCTATTTCAAAATTTAAAAGTAAATTTGTTATAAAGAAAGTTTTTATTTAAACCCTTGAAACTGAAATGTCAATGTGGGAAATAATTCCCAGACTTGTGCAACAGACCAAGAAGATTCAGACACGCCTCTGACCTCCAGCACCTCATGACCCAGCCCAGAAGAGAGGCCTTTCAAGGAGTAGCTCCGGGTAGAAGGGACAGCATTAGCACAGGGACGTGTGCCACAGAGGGGAAGACTGAGACACTGATGGAAACAGGTCCTGAAAGGAAGATCTAGAAACTGGACTTGACCTAGAAGCAGCAATGATGGCCTATCTGGGGTCCTTAGAACATCTTAAATAATGTCTTCAAGACTTGTATATACATCAGAAACTGGGGTTTAAGACCAAGGACATCACCGTTCCTCAACCATCAAAAGTACCAGTGGAATTCTCTGGCGGTTTGATGGCCCTTGGAGACCCTTCACCATCTGGTATCTGGAGCGCAAGGTGGGAGACACAGCAGCTATCAGAACTAGGACATGTTCCACTTGGCATATGGAACACCCCCTCATAGAAGAGGCCAGGACACCATAGTTGTCTGGATCCTGACTCCAACTCCCTGTGGTCCCCCATCGTGGAGTTCCCTTATGAGATTCATGGAGAGTTCCGTTCTCCCTTTTCAGAGCCTTGGGCTCGCATCCTATGTTCACTGTTCTCTTCACTATAGATCCCTGCAACAGGTGCCGGAGAGCCCTCTCGTGAGATGAGAAACTACTGTTAGACTCTATAATTCCGTGTGCCTCCCTGTATGAAATTCCACGAAGTGCAATTTTTCTTGATAATGCATAAAATGGGGAGATCACAGCAACGATTTACAAACTCCCAGCAGCTTCACTCGGGGCATGGATGGGGCTGCATTCCTCAAGAAGTTCGGTGGTTCCTCTTCAGCCCCAGAAACTGTACAGCAACGCTGAAGAACACTGGTGCAGCAGGTTCCCAGGGCTGAGACATGTCTGTTACAATAGGTCTAGTAAGAGTCAGGACTTATCCTCAGCTCACGAGGCTGCGTTGAAACCCATATATTCCCCCTAGACTGCATAGGCTCAAGAAGCCCCTTCCCAGCCTTACCTCTGCAAGTTCAGGAGCAACAAAAGCTTCTCTAACAAAGAAGCAATTCTGCTGACCCCTGAAATTCTATCCCTATGACTCATCATTTTGAAAAGAACCCATACCAGTTTTTTTTTATTTGTTTGTTTGTTTGTTTTTTGGAAGACATTTATCCCACACACACACAGGTGAGAAAGGCTCTCTGTCCCCACAAGAAGCAGAGGAATGATTACATCGGGGCACTTATGGTAGTAGGCCCAGTGCGCTCACCACCACCGCCCCTCTGCCCCCAGTCCTCACCCTCACACCCTCTGGCTGCCTGAAAATGCACAGCACTCTATGACAGGCTGCACTCGGCTCCTGCGGACCTGGCTGGCCTTCACTTCACACCTTGAAATTCTCAGCCCTTCATTGGGCATGCACAGGTCGCCTCTGTGCTGTTAGGAACCCCTGGGGAGGCAGAGGCCGGCTTCTCCCAGAGCAGTCAGGAAAGGCCTCAGCAGCCAGCTTAGTTCTCCTTCATGCCCTCCTCGAGCCACTTCAGATAGCGAGCATCTCCGTGGTCCATGGCAATACTGAAGACCTCTGGGATTTCAAAAGGATGAGCCAACCTTTGGAAAGAAAGCAGAACTCTGAGTGATGATGACAGGATTAACCTACATGATAAAACCCAGCCCGCAGGCTCTCTGGAGGCCCCTGCAAGCAGCTGCAACTCACAGCTTAATGCCCTGCATGGTCCAGCCTGCCTGAGCCTGTTTCCTATTCAGCAGGTTCTGGGCTGGATCAGCACCTTTAGAGCAGTGGTTCTCAACCTTCCTAATGCTGCGGCCCTCTAACACAGTTCTGTTGTAGATATTAGTTTAGGATGTGCTGCATTTGTTTATACTGTGGAACATTTATTTATTGGTGCAAACACATGTTTCATTCTTTTATGTTGCATTTGTTTAGCTCTGTGAAGCTGTGTTTCTGTGCCTGCCTAAAACACCTGATGATCTAATAAAGAGCTGAACGGCCAATGGTGAGACAGGAAAAAGGAGAGGTGGGGCTGGCTGGTGGCAGAGAGAATAGAGGATGGAGCTAGACCAAGGAGAGAACATAAAGGGGCCAGCCACTCAGCTACACAGCCAGCAATGGAATGAGAAAGAAAAGTTATACAGAGATAGAGAAAGGTAAAACCACAGAGGCGAGGCAAAGGGTAGACAGGATAATTTAAGAAAAGCTGGCTAGAGCTGGGTAGTGATGGTGCACACCATTAATCTCAGCTCTCAGGAGACATAGGCAGCCAGATCTCTGTGAGTTCGAGGCCAGCCTGGTCTACAAAGTGAGTTCCAAGACAGGCTCCAAAGCTACACAGAGAAATCTTTTTTTGAAAAAGAAAAAAGAAAGAAAAAAAAGAAAAGTTTACTAGAAACAAGCCAAGCTAAGGAAGACTCTATGGTGATTTATTTGAGAACTGGGTGGCAGGCCCCCAACAAAAGCCAAAGAGTAAAGAGAAAAAAAACTACACAGTTCCTCACACTGTAGTGACCCTCAACCATAAAATTATTTTGTTGCTACTTCATGACTGTAATTTTGCTACTGTGACAAATCTCAACCCACAGGTTGAATGCTGCTGCTTTAGAATCTTAGACGTATGGGTTCAAAGTCTGTGTCTGCCCTTACTAGTTCTGTGTGTTGTGGGAGCTCATTCCACCAATATCTTTGGGGTACCAGCCTTCAGGTGTGCTTCTTGTCTGTGGACATGACCGCTTATTAGGAGAGAGAGAAGGGTCCCGCTCTCTATTTGGTGGTGAAGACCAGGTCAGGTGGCATGAAGTGACCACATGTGATCGATCCCCAGCTTCCCTGGGCTAAACGGAAGGACTCTGCAACTCATGATCCCTTGTCCTGTATCTGTGAGTCTGTTTCCCCATTGCATCCCTTAATAAACTGATGAATATATTCGCTGTGGCTCACATTACAAGTGGTGCCCAAATGTGAACTGAACAGTGGCTGGAGCTGGTCTGTGCGGCTCCCATCCCAGCCTCCCCAGCTGCTGGCACACTTCCCATATCCGATGAGCCCCAAGCGTTCCCAGCTGGGATCCCTGTCTGCCCTGTGTCAGTGACTGTGGACAAATGATTTAATTTCTCTGAATGTCTCCACAGAAAGGGATAAAAACACCTTTTTGGCTGGATTGCTGAGAACTAGCTAGTGACCAGTGTTGCACACACTCATGTTCACTATTCTTTTCACCTCCATCCACACACATGGCTGTGTCTTCCTGCCCCTCCCCAAAGTCTGTATTTTCCATCCTACCTAGAAAACCTTCACTGTTCCTGCTAATCAACCAAACTCCCCTTTCTTGAGCCTCAAGGCCAAATAATCCCTGACCTTCACCCACGGGGCCCTTACAAAGCCTGGCCCAGTGCCAGCCATCTTCACGTCAGTCTCTCGTGTCAGATGAACGAAATAATTCTTTGCTTACTTTCTGATCAAAGTAGAGTCATTGGGAAGTTCTCATGGGCTAACGTGGTTAACTAATCATAGTGTTTTATAAGTAGGATTGATTATCAGTTTGACAAGCTTCTTTCATGGACACCAAGGCCAGAATCTTCTTTGATAAAGAGACATATAGAATTGAAAGAATCAGACACCTTAGCAGTAAGATGAACTGTTGAAACACTTCATAGGTATACTGCATATAGTCTAATATGTATAGCAACCTGGTAGTTTGGTACCCATTTTATAGATAGACAGATGAGGCAAAAATATACACATATACTAATACAAGCATTATGGTGCAACTATCAAGTAGGAAGCCAGGCTTCAACATAAGAAGCAGAACTCTGAAGTTCTCCTGACCCAGAAGCTGCCCCTCACAGCTTACAGTTCGGTTCAGCCAAGCTACCTATTCCCTCGCCTCTGCTGACAAAAAGGTCTTCTCTGAAGTCAGAACTGAGTCTCAGCTTACAGCTCTATGGCCACAAAATCCTAGTTTCCCTAAGATGTGAGGTGTTGTAATAGGAGCGGCGGGGCTGCGTCCCCAGCACCCCGGCCGCCTGGCTAGCTTATGCCCGAAATAACAACACACAAACTGTATTCATTTAAACACTGCTTGGCCCATTTCTATCTAGCCTCTTCTCGGCTAACTCTCGCACCTGGACTAGCCCATTTCTAATAATGTATGTAAGCACCCCAAGGTGCGCTTACCGGGAAGATTCTAGCCTAAGTCCATCCTGGGTTGGAGCTTCATCGCATGTGCCTCAGAGAGCAGAGCTATCGGGAGAGCGGAGCATGGCATCTCTGCTCCAGAGCAGAGCTGTTGAGTCTGAGCTCACTTCCTCTTCCTCCCAGCATTCTATTCTGTTTACTCCTCCCACCTATGTTTTAACCTATCAGGGCCAAGGAGTTTCTTTATTGCTTAACCAATGAAATCAACAGATTGATATATGACACTCCCACATCACTTCCCCTTTTTCTGTTTAAACAAAAAAAGAAGGCTTTAACTTTAACAGAGCAAAATTACATATAACAAAACAGTTATCAAGTAAAAATTACAATAATCTATATCATAACTAAGGAAAACTATAACTATAACTAACTATTCTTCAACTCCTTCAAAGACTCCAGAAGGATATAATATTACCTAAGCAAACAAGAAATCAAAACTCTAGAAATGACAGAGACATCTCGCTGCCTGGACAGTCACCCAAAGTTCCTCTGTACCATTGGGGCATCCATCTTTGGCCTACAGGCCCATAGTTTGCAGCAGACATTTCCACAAAGCAGGAAATTTCAAAGGCAGTCACTATCTGCTTGTCCTGAAGAATGTCTTGCAGACTCTTTCATGAATCAGGAACCCCGAAAGATCATCTCACCTTTAGGCAAGTTCAGTAGTCCTCTCGCTGAGGGTTCTCTGTGTCCAGTTTATGCAATAGTCCAGGCATGAGCAGTTTTCTTGCCCAAATGGCTATCAGACTCCATAAGGATCCTCTTCAATGCCCATATTCTTCTTGAAGTAGATTGGTGCTGCCAGGAGCAGAGTGTCTCATTGTCATGAAAAACCCTAAGTTATTAAAACATTAAATGTCCTATTCTGTAGTCTTTGAAAGATATGAAGATTGCCTATCTAAAATATATCTATGCATATCTAGAAAATCTTAACTAACATGACTACAAGCTTGACTATTATTGATGATTATCCATTAGCAACCTATATTTCCTAATTATACATTACATTTTAAAAGTGAACACACAATCACAATACCTTAATCAAGATTAGAAATATGCATATACATATAACAAAATTGACCTTAAAATCCATACCAATGCAAATTATTTATATCTATGTCATATCCCCCTTTAAATGTAAAAGAACATTTATAAACCATATTTGAGAACATGGGCGCAGTTTTTTCTCTCCAAACTGCTTCCTGCTGAATGGGGGCGTCATTAATTAGGTCTTTCATGGTATAACCTGTGTGCTAGTTTCATCTCAGTTGGCAGTTGAGCGAAGCAATTTTCTGAAGGTGTTCACAGCAACCTTCAGGAGGGCGTGGTGGGTGCCAGGTGAAGGCGTAAGTCACAAACAATGCCACACCAGTTTGGAATTATGATTAATAGGGTGGTATTTATTTAAAGAGGAAAAAACTTACAGATCACCATCCCAGACAACAGCCCTCTGAGCAACCAGGGAGTCTAGTCGCCGGCGGAGCAGGAAATGAAGAGAGAGTGGAGGGAAGTAGCCGCTTTTTTAAAGGGAGAGAGACCATGCCCCAATGGGCTGGTATCTCAGCAGCTATTGGTTGGAGGAGCGGAAGGACCTCCCGCAACAGTGAGGAGATGATTCTTACCATGCAGAGCAAGGGCATGTAGCCCAGGCAGCACAGCAGTCCACCTGGGGTGCCCCTTGAGAACCCCACACTTGACCTACAATCCACCCTGCCTACAAGATGTGTGGGAGCAAAGGCTGCTCAGAGCCTGTGGGAGTGGCGACCCATGACAGGTCCAACTTGAGGACCATGCCACAAGAGGGAGCCCACACCAGACACTGTCTGGATGGCCAGGAACCAGAGGCAGGACATTCCAGAGACCCAGATAGAACCAAGCATGACTGCCTCCCCCCCCACCCCAATAAAAGGTCGATGAAATGACTCCTAATGATATTCTCCTATACTCACAGGCCGGTGCCTAGCCAGTCATCAGAGTCTTCATGCAGCCACTGATGGGAGTAGATGCACACCCACAGCCAAACAAGAGGCAGAGCTCAGGGAACCCCACAGAGGAGGGGGAGGAATGATTGTAGGAGCCAGAGGGATCAAGGACACCACAAGAAATCCCACAGAACCAACTAACCAGGCTTGATAGGGGCTTACAGAGACTGAAGCAACAAACACAGACCCTGTATGGGTCTGTGCTAGGTCCTCTGCATATACGTTGTGTTTGTATAGCTTGGTGTTCTTGTGGGACTCCTAACAGCAGGAAACTGGGTGTCTCTGACTCTTTTGCCTGCACTTCAGACCCTTCTTCCTCCTCCTGGGTTGCCTTGTCCAACCTTGATATGAGGGTTTGTGTCCAGTCTTCTTGTAAGTTGTTATATCACATTTGGTTGATATCTCTGGGAGGCCTGTTTGTTTTTCTTTCTCTTTCTTTCTTTCTTTCTTTCTCTTGAAGGGAAACAGGAGGAAGAGGAGATCTGGGGAGAGAAGGGGTAGGAAGAGGGACTGGTAGGAGTGGAAGGAGGGGAAATGAGGTTGGGATGTAATGTATGAGAGAATAAAATAATAATAATGAATCATTTGATCCTCTCACAGACAAACCAAGTTAAAATCCATTAGGTAGTGCTTATGTTGGACATTTGAAAAATATCTCCAAGTGATCTAACACATGGCCAGCACTGAGGCAACAGGTTAGACCAATGCTTCAAGTGGTAATGTGGACAAGAATCACTAAATACGATTCTTGGGATGCAGTTCCATTCAGTAGGTCTGAAGTGACACAGGATCCCATCTCCAATAGTAGAGGTAGAAGGGGACAATGTCCTTGTTGCCAATGAGAGAATTGTTTGCAAGAAAAAAATTAAATTTTGAAACCTTGAATTTGTCATTGTAAACTTAAAACTGTCCCTAGCAGCCATCTTATTAAGCCACAATTTGCAAAATGTGAATGACACCATTTTCTCACTAACTTCTTGGTTTTGAAAAAGAATGAGTACTCTTCATAGAAGCATGATATTTGTGTGCCGGGCAGTGGTGGCATACACCTTTAATCCCAGCACTCGAGAGGCAGAGGCAGGCAGGTCTCTATAAGTTCGAGACCAGCCTGGTCTACAAGAGCTAGTTCCAGGACAGGCTCCAAAACTACAGAGAAACCCTGTTTCAAAAACAAACAAACAAACAAAAACCATGATATTTGTGTTATTACTATATAATGGTTGTATTGTCAAGTAAGCTAAAAACAGTTTTCAAAATCCTTGGCACTTATGACTGAAAATGTTCGTGGACTTCTCAAAGTTTTGGAGACCTCAGAGGTAAAGAGACCTCACTTTGTGAGTCATTGCTGTCAACCGCTGAGACTCAAAGTGAGCTTTGTGACTGCGTTACTCGGAACAAGCTAGAAATTGACCCAGCTTTCATGAGTCTGAATAATCTTTCTAAAGCATGAGGAGGCCCTGAGACCGATATTTTGAAGCCACCAGTGTAAACTGTCTCGTTCTACTCTCCATCGCCCAGATGGACACGGAGTCTCTAGGAGACGATCGCTAAACCCAGCTCTCCCTCTTCCCACATTCATTCACGCAGTGACCAGAACATCCAGACCTAGTACTATGGTTCGTGAGTGAGAAGCCTTACCTCACATAGGTGGACAGCCTGGAGACCTTGGAAGTCTTTGTCTTTATTAGCTGTGACAGGAAGAAAATCAATCAGCAACTTAGGACCTGAAGCCAGCTCAACCCTCCATCCTCCCAGGATACCAGCCCAGGTCACTCGCTTGCTAATGGACCTCAGGCATCTCAGGTGGGGCAATCTTCACGATCGGTTGATTGATGTGCATGTAAGACATCATCACTGAGCTACATCCCAGCCTCATCACTAATTCGGATCTGAAAATGGTCCTGATGTCACTCATTGTCCTGTTAAGACTCCTCTGCCCCATCCTCACTTACCAACAAGATCTCAGTGGATTCTTCTATTTCTCCCTTCCAAAAGTACCTAGAGAAGAGAACAAAATCAAATTGTAAGAGACCCAAGAGGAACCTGGCAAATTGTCAAACCTGCCCAAGTAGGTAAATTACTAAAGAGAAGTTGCCACAATCTTCCTCAAACCCATTGAGCTGGCACAAGGTAGAGTCATCAGAGAGGAGGGAGCCTCAGCTAACAAAATGTCTCCACCAGACTGGGCTGCAGGCAGGCTGTAGAGAATTTTCTTAGTGACTGATACAAGAGGTCCCAGCCCATTGCGGGTAGTGCTATCTCTGGGCTGGTGGTCCTAGTTCTATAAGAAAGCAGGCTGAGCAAGCCATGAGGACCAAGCCAGTAAGCAGCACCCTCCATGGCCTCTGCATCAGCTCCTGCCTCCAGGTGCCTGCCCTGCTTGAGTTCCTGTCCTGACTGCCTTTGACAGTGATGTGGAAGTGTAAGCCAAATAAACCCTTTCTTCTTCAACTTGCTTTTTGGTTTTAGTGTTTCATCGCAGCAATAGGAACCCTAACTACGAACCCATAAAAGAAGTATAGAGTTGGCCAAGGCCCCACAGGTCAGTCTGTCCAATCATTCTAACAAATACATTCAGCACCTATCAGTGCCTTCCTGAAGGTTATCTATTGAAGATAGTTTCCTAACTCAGATTTCATGAGGTCTCCTTCCTTCCTTCTTTCCTTTCTTTCTTCCTTCCTCCCTCCCTCCCTCCTTCCCTTCCTTCTTTTCTTCCTCCCTCCCTCCCTTCCTTCCTTCCTTCCTTCCTTCCTCCCTTCCTTTTTTCTTCCCTTTATTCTCCCTCCATCAACCCTCCCCTCCATCTTTTCTTGCCTCTTCCTTTTTTGTTATGTTGGAGCGCAAACCCCAGGCCTTGTGCATGTTAGGCAAGCAAGCACTCTGCACTGAGCTACATGCATAAGCCTCTAGAGAACATTTTAACGATTCAGAAACTTAGGCCTCAGCCTCAGAGAGGCTAATTCAACAGACCTAGGCTGAGGCTCAGAGATCAAAAGTTAAGGCAAGTTAAGCAGCCATGCTCAGACGATGTGAGCAGTTGAGCAAACAGCGTGACTTTTCTCTCCTTTCTCTATACACAACATATTTTTTGCCTTCCTTGGGAGATATAAACTGATAACAAACAAAATCTCCGAATGCAAGTCGACTGTGCAGTGCTGATTAAACACCTTTGAAACATTCAACGGCTCACATTTGCCCCATGCTCTCTCTGTCATCTAGGGCCCGATCTTAACACTCCCAGTCCCCTCCCAGGCCTTGGCAAAACTCACAGTGATGACGTCTTAGGCAAGATGTTCACAGAAGCGGCCAACTTCTTATCCAATATGGCCCTAAAGCAAGGAGAGGGGGTGACCACTGGAGCAAGTCCAAGGTTTTAAGAGAAGGAAGGGATGGGAATTACTGGGAATATCTGAGTCTAAGTAAAGAAACATTTAGGGTGTCCCTCCCATGCTATGCTTTACATATGCCCTGAGAATTCTTATGTTGGAAACTTAATTCTTAATGAAACTGTAGTTGAGGACCTTGGGAAGTAATTAATGAAGTAAAAATGTGGGAACTGCAGCTGCCAGTCTTCGCTTAGGCAATGCTAGAGGAGCTGCCGGGACTAAGCTAGTACCAAGACCCAAAGCTGCAGCGCTACCAGCACAGTGTGGTTAAGCTGAGCCCGTCAAAGCTGAGGAGGCTGGACTGCCAAGACCTAGTCCCTCCCCCACCACACTGTATCCAGGAATTTATCCTGAGCCTTCAGAGTTAAAGTGCTATAGAATTTTACACTTACATGGGGTCCTGGCTACTTTTATGTCAACTTGACACAAGCTTTAGTCACTTGAGAAAAACACTCAGTTGAGAAAATGAATCCATAAGATGGGCTGTAGGCAAACTGTGGTGCACTTTCTGAAGTAACGATTGTTAGGGGAAGGCCTAGCCCATTGTGGGTGGCACCACCCCTGGGCTAGTGGTCCTGGATTCTATGAGAAAGCAAGTTGAGCAAGCACAATGAGCAAGTCAGTAAGAGTACCCCTCCACGGCCTCTGCATTAGCTCCTGCCTCCAGGTACCTGCCCTGCTTGAGCTCCTGTCCTGACTGCCTTCAATGGTAAACAGTGATGTGGAAGCATAAGCCAACTAAACCCTTTGCTCCCAACTTGCTTCTTGGCCATGGTGCTTTCTCACAGCAGTGATAACCCCAAGACAGCTGGGACCAGCTTTCCTTACTACTTGCTTATGTAGCCAGGGAAATGCCTGCTTCACCATTGTCCTTTAGAAGCAGGCAGCTTGTTGGCTTCACAAGCTAGTGCTATAGCTGGTTGAGCATTAGGGCTATGGGGATGGTGGGGCAATGTTTTACACGTAATGTCAGGAATGCTGGGGCACAAAGGCAGAATGCTAAGGTTTGTGTGTGTCCCCGGAATTCCTGTGCTGAGAACTAACCCCACAAATCATGTTAATGAGTTTGGAGAGAGGGCTTTTAGAGGGTGATTAGTGAGGTGATGAGGGTGGGGCCCCAGGGTGGCATCAGTGACTTCAAAAGGAAAGGAAGAGAGAGGGGATCAGCATGCTTGCCCTCCACTGCCACGTGATACCCTTGTTTGGTTGGAGTTTGTTTGTTTTTGTTTTTAAAGGTTTCTGACAAACGCCTTATCAGAACCCTACTCCCAGGTAGATTTCCTCCCCTGTTCCAAGGAGGGGTTGCTCTCCCTGCTCCTCCTTTGAGCCCTTTACTTCCTTACTTATCATGAGACCTTGGGAACTGAGCTAAGGGGATGAGAAAAGAAGTTAGACTAGCAGTTGGGAGGGGGGGGTAAATTGTCCCCATGGAGGCCTTCACAGTTCCTTTAAGATCTCCATCAAGTCACCTATCTCTATGGGTCTCACACATTCTGCTCCATCAATGACTTAACATTCCCTAGCACAGCAGGAGGATCAGCCTTGAAATCATTCTGAGCAGGGTCATCCAATGGGTTCCTCATCCCACCCAAAACAGAAAGTATGGAGTTCATCTTTGGACACAATGTGGCCCCTAGGAGCACCCTGGTAGCTTCCTGCTCATGTAGGGGCATCACCTAGCCCCGCACTATACCTGGCAACATCTTTGGCAATTTGCTCATTGGGACAGTTGACAAAAACAATGGAGTAAGTGCCAGAGACATGGTTCCTGGTGAGGGAGGAGTGGAACCAGAGGGAGAAGGTCCTGAGCATAGGATACGTCAGGATGACCACCAGGATCTGTAAGGTACAAGAGAAAAGCACGGGTCAGTGACTCCTGGCTCCACCAGACTGGAATCATCTCATCATCCCCATTCACAAAATAATTCCTTAGAATGTTCATGCCCAGGGTCCTGGGAAACTAGCTCAGTTAAATGAGATTGCCTGAATTTGGTGGCCCACGCTTGTAATCGGAGCACTGAAGATGTAGAGACTGGGAGATCCCTGGGGCTAGCGGATGACCAGCATATTCCTGGCACTTACTCAGCAAGTTCTAGACCAATGGCAGACCCTATCCACCCCCAACAAAAAATAAATAAATAAATAAATAAATAAATAAATAAATAAATAAATAAGCCAAGGTTAAGAGCACTGAATGCTGTTTCAGAGGAAAAGCTGGAAATATGGAAAATTATGCCCTGGCAATGCTGAAGCATGCATGGCAGCCCGTATATGGTGGTTCTGTTGAACTTGTCCACATTGGGTTCCATGGTCTAAGTTGATGAGGACGACTGCCCAGGTCTCTTCCTCAAGAGGGCACCAGATCTCATTACAGAGGGTTGTGAGCCGCCATGTGGTTGCCGGGCATTGAACTCAGGACCTTTGGAAGAGCAGGCAGTGCTCTTAACTGCTGAGTCATCTCTCCAGAGGACTTGAATTCAATTCCCAACACCCACATGGTGGCTAAGAACCCGAGTTCCAGGGCATCTGATATCCTCTTCTGGCTCCCAGGGGACAGGCACATACATGGTGCAAGCAGAACACCCATACACACTGAATAAATAAATAACAAGATGAAAGGCTCCTGGAAAATGATACACCAGTGCTGACCTCTGGCACCCATACATACGTTTACCCACACATACACAAAGTACACATGCCTAGATGTTTTCCTCTGTGTTTTATAGCTAAGGAAAAGAATGGAGGACCACAAATCAATAAGACACAAAACTTTCTCAAACCATAGCTTTAAATGTTGAAGCTGGAATTTGGACTCAAGTCTGGATGGTTTCAAATCCATTTCTATTGCACGAAACTGTTACTGCAGGTACTTGTGGCTGCCGCTCACTGAAGCATGTGTGAAGATTATTTTTAATGGTAAGCACTCATCTCTCCTAATGCTTTAGTGAATAATTTCACTTGCATTCATCTAACTGTTTCAGGTATGGTGCATGCTTGAGTGCAAACATACCAGTTTTAAAATCCTGCAACACACGCTACTGGGACTAAGCATTAGAATGGCCAAGAAGTAGATTCTCCTTGGGGGCGGAGCACAAGCAGGCTTTGCTGAGAAGGTGCTCTCTCTCTATTGGTTACTTTTCTCATTGTCACAATGAGAAGCAACTTGGCTTACACATGGTCTGTGTGGCTGGGGAAGCAGGGCAAGAGGCAGAGTTGTGGCATGTGGTAGTGATCTTGCCAAGAAATAGAGACCAGACAGAGGCTGGCTGGGCGCTAAATCACAAGGCCCCTTCTAGCAGCCAACTTCCTCCAGTAAACAGCCTCTACCTGAAAGTTTCACCGTGTCTGAAGCCACACCATCAGCTAGGAAATGTGTTCAAACGCTCGAGCCCACCAGGAACACTTCATAATCAGCCCAGAACATTCTATACCTGTCCCTGTCAGTTCATGGTGACCTCACAATGCAAATATATATAATTTCATTATATATATAACATATATATAAATAATATATATAAATTCATTATATTCAGTTTATCTTGAAAAGTCCTCGGAGCCTTACAGTTCTACAGAAGTTCAAAGTTGGGAGACTCAAATCAGTCTCCTGTCTGGGTGCCCCTATAATTCAAAATGTGTGCAGTACCCTAATGCGAGCATTCTTGTTCCCAAAGGGAAGAATAGGGGCTCAATGTGGAAAACTGAGCCAACGCATGAGCAAAACCCAGCAGGGCAGACACAGACCCAGCGGTGCAGACATAGATCCTGTAACTCTTGCCCTTTACACGCCTTTAATGCCAGTATCCAAGTTCCATTGCCAGCTCAGATGTAGCCTGCCCCACTTAGACCACAAATGCAGTGTACTCTGTGTGCCTTTAAGGTTAAGCCTGGAAAACCACGACCCTGGGCAGCCTGTTCCAGCCGGGCACTCTCTTTTCAAATGAATTCGCAGTGAAGTTTTTCACAGGCAGGATTTTGCCCTAAGGCACCTTTCCTAATGCCCCAGCAGCTAAGGTTCATTTCTCCTAAGGGCCAATAGCTTAACAAGTTCAGCTGCTTTCCCCTTGCTGGCTCCCAGTAGAATCCTTGCCACCCACATTCACAGTCGTTCTGGTCCTCTCAACGGCCACCACAATGATCCACAGGCTCTATTTACAACAGTCCAGGGGTTCTCTAGCCCACAACTCCAAACCATTTCAGATTCCTCCCACAAATCACTTCCAGAGGTGTAGCAAACAGGAGAGTCGAGCTCAGCACACCAACAGGTTGCTTCTCACACCAATTTCCCATGCTAGTCTCTCTTGCTGTTGTTCCCACCGGATACCTGACAAGAAGCAAATTAACAGAGGCAAAATTGATTTGGACTTAGTTTAAGGGAATCCAGTCAGGCCAAGGAGATGCTCACTGGCTAATGTGCTGGCTGGGCAAGCATGAAGACTTGGATGCCCAGGCAAAACTCTGGGCATGACAGCACATGCTTGTAATCTCAGTGCTAGGAGGCAGATGAGAGACTCACAGGGGCCCAGTGAACAGAGTCTAGCCAGGCAATCAGCTCCAGGTGCAGTGAGAGACCCTACCTCAAATAAATAGAGAGCAACAGTGGAAGACACTCAACACTGACTTTCACAGATGTGTGTGCAGTTGCACAAACACATGCAGGGACACACACACACACACAATGGTAGCCCATCATATCATGGTGAAGGCAATGTGTGGAAGCTGGTTGTTCAGATTTTGCTATACCAGGAAGCAGAAATTGGAGAAGCCAAATCGTAAGCATCAAGGCCCACCTCCAATGACCTACCTTCTCCAGAGAGTCTATGTCCCTTCAAACCATACCACAAGCTGGGGACCAAGTATTCAACTTTTACATGAGCCTGTGGACAAACATTTAAACCAAAATGCCATTTGAATAAGATTGAAATAGTAAGTCAGATTATTGATGCGGACACTAAGGCACTAAACCACCTTTAGGGTATGGAGTGGTATGGAGTATGGGGTATGGAGTGCCCTGTTTCTATGGGTAGGGAGAAGATCAGAAGGCAATGAACTACGAAGGGAAGGAATTATGAAGAAAGGGGTCAAACCGGGGCATGTGCATCTGGAGTAGGTGCAGGTGCGGTGGAGGTTTGAAGTAGGGGGGTGACAGAGTGGCCATCAGAGCAGAAGAATGGGCCGGTGAGGAGTGGAGACCGGCCAGAAAGCAGTCTGTTTAGGAAGTCACTCACTGGCTCAGATCCTGAGCAACTGTGGGAGAAAACAGCTGAGTTATCATTTTCTTATTATCTTCATGACAATGCTTGGGAGGAAGAGCTGAAGTACCTTTCATTCCAGCATCAGTATAGAATCATTCAAAGGACAGAGGCCACCTAGGTCAGGCTGTGACCCAGCCAGACTGAGCAAGGATGCCCCTCCTGTCTCCCAACCCGGACTCATGCTTTCTTGTAGAGCATCTCTGTCCTCCCTCCATGTTATGTTACCACATGGCTTCTGACTCTCTTGACAGACCCTGAATGTTTTGTTGTCGTTTTACTTTCTTAAAAACATTTTCCGTATGTATGGGTTGTTATGGAATATTGGTTTAAGATGTGTTACATTTGTTTATGCTATGGAACATCTGTTTAATGATGCAAAGATGTGTTGCATTCTTTTATGTTGCATTTGTTTGACTCTGTGAAGCTGTGATTATTTGCCTGTCTAAAAAGCCTGATTGGTCTAATAAAGAGCTGAACAGCCAATAGCGAGGCAGGAGAAAGGATAGGTGGGGCTGGTGGGCAGAGAGAATAAAGAAGAGGAGAAATGTAGGCTGGGGGTGGAGAGAGAGCAAGCAAGGAGAGAGAAAAAGCAAAGGAGAGGAGGGCACCAGGGGCCAGACACCCAATCACACAGCCGATCACGGAGTAAGAAGGAAAAAAACAGATAAGAATAAAGATAAAAAGCCCAGAGGCGAAACATAGTTAAAGAGAAATGGGATAATTTAAGCTAGAGAAGCTGGCTAGAAACAAGCCAAGCTAAAACTAGTCATTCATAAGTAAGAATAAATTTCTATTTATTTGGGAGTAGGGTGGTGGGCCCCAAAGAGTAAAAAAGCCAGCTACAATGGGTGTTTTGCCTGCATGTATGTCCAGGTATCATGTGCATGTCTGATGCCTACAAAGGCCAGAGGATCCCCCTGGAACTGGAGTTACAGATGGTTGTGAATTATCATGTGGGCACTGGGAAACAAACCCAGGTCCTCTGCAAGAGCAACCAGTGCTCTTAACCACTTAACTGTCCCTCCAGACCCCTAGGCAATGTTTTTAATGCCCTGAGTTAGATGTTAATGTTCTGGTTGAATTCTTCTGGCCTCCTACAGTTTCCACTAGAACCTCCATTTTAACACAGCATCCTACCCTTCAGAACTGACTCCACAGCCAGGCAGAAAAAATGAACCAGCTTCAAGGAGCTATCACCGTGCATCTTTAATGAAAACTCGTCTGGTTTACAGGGCAAAAATAAAAGCACTAGAGGGAGGGATTTGGATCTTGTCAATACGGCTAACAGCTTATGGCTTCTGACAAGGTACAAGGTACTCCCTCCCCTTCTGTCAGTCTCAATAAGGAGCTGGAGATGGGACCCCACCCCGATCCCGTGCTGCTGACTCGGAGGTGCCAGAGGTGGAGATGGGGAATCCCCTACCCACCCCGTGCTGCCTGACTAGGAGGTACCAGAGGTGGAGGTGGGGAATCCCCCACACCGCTGCCTGACTCCGAGGTACCAGAGGTGGAGATGGGGACCCCTGCCACCCCGCTGCCTGACTCTGAGGTGCCCGGGTTCTCATGAGAAGAGACGCACAGCCTGGG